GCCTAAGAAGAAGATGTAGGTGCAACAATATGTAATTGGTATACAAAAACACTTGTGTTGGGGATATCAACTGTGCCTTTCCCAATATACTTTTCTTCAGAACATAAACCCTATTTCTGATTATATTGGCCGCGCCAAACATGTCAATCCATACAAGGCTGCGACTGAATGAGTTTACTTATCTCTTTATCTTTCATCACATCGCTCCTATGGGGTATTGTTCTCCTTGTTGTTGACACGTGTGCTAAAACCCGAGACCTTTGTCCTTACCCCAAGAAAAATTATATTGCAGATTTAAATTGAAAAACAATCTCGAGTAGTTGTTCTATCAGGTTGTGGATTTGCACTATGCACAACATCATTTTCAACCACCGGTCCTTCCACACTAGGTGAATACAGGGAGTTTGATTGCCTCCCGGCGACACTGGCACAAGATACACTGGGATTGGGAGACGACACGCCAGGGCAACGAAAACCACTTCCGGGCACACAAAGCTCATCTGGCGGGCCTTTCAGATATTTTTGGTGTTTCTTTTGTTGGATTTCGCTGAGGAACAATATGGAGTTTCCTCTTTCTACCCAAACAGTATCCAATGATAGTGAGGTGTAATTAGGTCTCGGAAAGAGTCGAATGCTTCAATTTATCACGCAAATTAAATATAAACTACAAGTAACTTCGAGTAATAAGTGATTTGGGAATACTCCAGGCATCAAACACATGGAGTGTGTTTTAGGGGTCAACGAATTCCACATGAAACAGACAGCTTCGATTAACGACTAAGTCTTTCCTTTGGTTTCTGACATGTAATATGAACAGTATACCACAAGATGAACTTGGGCTACAGACTGAGGACGAGACGCATCCAGACAGACCTACATTAAGATCGCTATCATGCTGAGTGAAGCCATATCAATCCTAGCTCGGCTTAAATGCGGTAGACATTATTGACTACGTTAATGCTGTAACTGAAAATAGTTATTCCTCGTTGCAGATATTGCTTTTGCTTTAAGATATTCATACAAAAAACAACAACTTTACTTGTTATATTATTTGGCGAATACAGTGAGTGAGTTAGGTTTAACGCCGCTTTTAACATTATTCCGGTTATATCGCGGCGTGTCAGCTTAATGTTGGAGGAAAGCCCGAAGTGATGCAGGTCTCAGACGTTTACCACTTCGGTGAAACCCACGAGCACGGGTATGGTGCTGACAAACCTAGAAACATAATCGGGGCGAACCGGGATTCGAACCCACAATCATAGGTTTCTGGCGTGCCCAAGGGACGCAACTCTGCACAGCGAATCGCGGCGCCTTAGACGACTGGGCCACCCGTGCCCCTGGCGAATACAGACATAACAAATTAATACAAGGTTAATCCGAAGTCCAATTGAAATCTTCGAAAGAGCTCATATTCAACAATGGTCTGGCACAATGGTCGGCCTCCCATCAGTTAGAATCAGATGGTTACAAAGGTTAACAGGATAGGAGACACGTACTCAATGCTCTGAAGTTTAACGACTAGGAAGGGACGTCTGTCATCATATTAAAATCTACAAAGCTTGATAGCATTGTATGTTGGTATGTGTTTTTAAAGTCATGTTTAAGGATTTAGGGTCTCTTAAATGTCAATTTTGGTATCGATTATGCTTTATGTATGTTGCTATGTGTTTTTGAGTTCTAATTTAAGGCTTTAGGGGTGTTAAATGCCCACTTATTGATTGCTAACGTTTACTAGCTATATCCATAACAGCAACTTTGCACATGATTATTGGGTCTTCATTAGTTGGCAGAAACACGAAGAGCGTGCGTCCAAACCATAATATTGAACCGACATTCAAACTCTATCAAAACACTGCCTAAAACGTATTGTCAGGACATGCCTAGGTCTCACACATAGACGTTGATGTGTTTGTGTGACATCCGCTTTCCCATTATTGTGTTTGTGCACAGCAAGCCAACATATAGTTAGGAAACATAAAACCGGTTCTACCGTTCAGAGCAAACCTCACAAAGCAAACGACAAAACATCAAACGTTGATTCTGTTGTTTTCAGCAAGAAGATAAACAAATACTAGTGAACGGATTTCACTAAAATAATGTTTAATCCAAACTGTGCGAGGCTGAATTACACTTTTTAAAACAAGACAAACGATACAAAAGTGCTATTTCAAAGCCAAAGCAAAGTATCTATCGATACCTTATATATAATAATTTTACTTCCAACAACACAACCGACATCTTTACGTGACACAGCTACATCAAGTCGCTGCTGTGTCAGTATGTACACAGAGCAGTGCTAAACTGTCCAGTGGCCCCTGTTGGGTCTCCAGCCAGACCAGCGGCATGATGTTATTGCTAGTTCATGTTCAGTGGGTACTTTTGACATATCTGATGTGGTGGGTTGCTGTGTGGTACGGGTGGTGGCGCAATCTACGAAAACAACCTTATAGTGTAATCTGTTCATGTCGGCATCAGGGTTTCATCAAATTCTCTGTTTAAAACAAACCTCCAGCTGTTCCAAGTCCTTCAGTGCGTATTTAAATCCGATATTGACCACAGCATGTTTATTCCTATCTATCATGTCACAAACACATACTCTGCAGATGAATAGTTTTTAGTCATATGTTCTGAGTGGGTTCACACATTATCATAACATCAAAGTGCAAGGCAATAGATTAACCAATTAAAGCAGTGATTGCATCTGTATAAAACGTTCATTGTTTTTTGTTCAATGTAGGCTATTCTGATACAACGTTTGCAGTATTTTCAGATCACATCAATGTTATACGAAATGCCTAACAGTCAGTATCTGCATACGCATGATTGCATACCATATGTTCATCAGTCTACAGAAAAATCAGCGAATGTTTCAGTATTACCAATTGGTTTTAAGAGGTTGATTCAGCAGTTATTATCAGCTCCATTCGCAACCACATAATAATATTTTCTCGAACGTTAAACACAGACTCTCCCGTAGTGGGTTAGTTGTAGCTGTCAAAGGAACAGGGCCAACAAACTGCAGGCATTTCACTTATCGTTTGTCCGTCAACTGACCTTGCAGAGCTCACCAATTGTCCGCTAATGTATGTTTACAACAGGCCATAACGCCGAATGGTACGGAGCACTAGACCACGATATTACTTTGATTGGTTTGGACTGGTTATGGCACCAGCAAGGGTCACATTGCTAACACGGCGGCTCCATGCACAGACGCCGAAGCAGTCTCATGTTTAACATTGTCATTCCAAAACATGATAAAACGTATGAGGAACTTGTTTTAAGTGATTTAATAATACGCCTCGGCATTTTGTTTATTTTCTATTTTCGAGAACGATGAACTGGTATATATCTCTATTTCATTTTAAGAACATTTTTTTGTATTTATTTAGTGATCAAAGAAGGACATTTCCTTTTCTGGAAGAGCATTTAACACGACGAACTTCCGTAACTAATGTTTTTGGTGGTTGACTTGCGTTTTAAGTTCTGTATGTCAAAAGATGTAAACGGAATAAGGATATCATTCATGAACAGTATTTGTGTAATTGAGGGAATCTAAAATGTGACAAGTACGTCGTGAAAACATTGACACATATACACGGTACACCAGTTCCTAATGAACTTCTTAGTTACGAGCATTTCAGCAAATTAGTGCTACAGCACAAGCCGATAAAACCCTTATACTGGAACGATCCTGAAGAAAGTCATCCAATCGATACTCGACTTAAGGTCTGTGTTGAACATACAAACATGAAAGTAGGCAATAAGAAATGTAATTTCACGCATCTCCGTGGGAGGCGATTTTAAATAACATAATCTACTATATTTGTTTAGTCCCTCAATCTCATTAAAACCAGATCTTAGTTCTCGCTATCGCTAAACAAAGGTCTGAGGACATCCCATTACGGGTCACGTCAGAGCGACCTTTCATCCAACCAATCAGAGCGTCGCATACCAGATCATGAAAGTGACAGTCGGAATGTGTTTTCTAATCATGCAACCACGATATATTTAACGCGGGATATTCCGAACGACAGTTACGGGTTTTATAATTATATCCATACAATCTAGGCCATCTATAAGCCATTCCAGAATGTTCTTCTTATCAGTTTTAATTTTTTTAATCGAGTATACGTCAAAATGTGTTTCGAAGCGTAGTCGCCAGTTTGACACTAGTGTCGTAAAGCTCGAAAAAGCTGCTTTCTGATTGGCCAATGTCGATTTCTTGTCAGTCATTTCATTGGTCGGTCAAATTTCGCGAAAGATCGTTCTGACGTGACCCGTAATGTGATGTCTTCAGATCGTTGTTTAGCGGTAGCGAAGACTAAGATCTGATTTTAATGAGATTGCTATTTCCTCTTTATCATTGTTTATGAAAACCGTTAAGTTTTCGGTTTCTTTAAGTAGAGCCAGATGTGTTAAATAAGCTACAAAAAAGCTTATGTTAAAACCTATTTTGTCTTGAAAAAAGGGAACAAAGAGTAATCTCTTTGAAAGCCTGTGCGGGACCAGTGTACTCGGCTTCAGGACGTGGAGCCTCTCAATCGCGACGGTTCTGTCACGACCAGCGTTTCACTGAAATAAAACATGAAGGTATTAAGGACAAAAAGTGCGAAAGTCGCATAATTGGCTAACCTTTCGGAAATCAATTTGAATTATCTGTGACTCGTCCGTGAAGTATGTGTTGAGTGTTGACTGTCGGAGACGTTTTCCTTTCGTCAACCTTGACTGCAGCCATCCTCCGCACGTCTACCACACTAAATTTGAATTTGTCCCAACTGCTTAATAGCTAGGGGCTTACCACTTATTAAAACACCACTTAGTTCTCAACATTCCCCGGTATACTCATTAGCTACAGTAAAAAATGAACATGTTGAGATACAGGTGGAACGTAACAATCAAGACATAAGATGGATCAGTAAATATTTACAGGGCATCACAATAAGATCTCTACAGCTCAGTGTATTGACGATCATCATTCTTGATGAATGTTTCTCTTCCAGTGCGCTGCCTTCTTTACATTCACGTGGTCATTTGGCGCCTTCCTGTGCAAGTTCGTCCACTACATGCAGACGGTGTCCATGATCTGCTCCGTCATGACACTTACTGTCATGAGCATCGAAAGGTAAACACAAAAATTCTGTGCTTGTCAATAATGTATCGTGATGAGTTGTGACATTGTGTACAATTGCAAAGGCGGGTACAGCGTTGTGTGTCGAGTTGTAATTCTGTGTGGGAGTATAGGTATACGCATCCTCGTGGTCGAGTGACATGCACTCATCATTTATATTACCCCAGAGAAGTTTCATTCAGTTTTCTTCCAGGACGGTTCCTTACAATATGCAATATTTTGAAAGATTTTTAATTTATAAGATTTTGCTGATGTATCCAAGGGGTTTGCAATAATACGCATTGTGCTTTATTTTTCTGTATGTTGTATCTTCCTTATTGTATGGAATAATACGTGATGTGGGTTTAACGTCCCAGATGTATGTTTGATACTGTGCGTCTGACATCTAATTGTATTCCAGTGCGTCCATCGTCCCAATGGTATGTTGGCTGCGGTAGCTGGTAACTGTAATTACTTACTATGCCAAACATAAACTGTCCATAGTCGTAAGAAAAGTAATGTTCACTTTCCGGTATTTCCGGTATTAGATGATGTCAGGAATTCCCGCATTACTTCTCCTCAGTAAAGAACACAACTTACACCACACTGTTTTCATCTTTTATATTCTAGATTTATTCTGAATTACTCCCACCCCACACCAGTCGCAGTTTCTATGTCTATGTACTCAGTGAGTTTGTAAACGAAGGTAGTGTTAAGTACTGAATTTGGTCCATCTGATTCTACTGGAATGAAGGTGGCATTTTCATTGACCTTCTTCAATAAACATTTCTTCATTAAATATTTCTTCAATAAAGATTTCTTTCAACATACATATTTGTAGTTTATACACTTTGAGCTGTCGCAGTAAACAGTTGCTTGCAAGACAATCTCTACAGCGAAAGCCGATTAGCGTGGTTTTGAAAACGGATCTTGACGACATGCGTTTGGCTAGGCATGAAATAGATTAATCACGGAATTTGTCTGTTCACCGCGGCCATGTACAGTTTACGTTACAGGAAATTTATTTGAAAGCGTAATTACGTGTCGTTAACGTCCTGATAATTGCATTTGTTTATTCCTGAAGTCAGCCATGATTCTGTACTCACTGCTTTATATAAGTCCGTGTTCCACGTGCCAGTAAGTGCGTTGTTGCAAAGGCAACATAATCAATTTACTCGACAGTGAGGAAGACACGATGTGCCCATAAAGAAGGTTAGTAGATACAGGCACGAATATAAAACGATAAAAATAACAACACAGCAAATTAACATTTGACATTACAACGAGAAGGCTAAAACACAATGTAATGTCATCTTGACCTGGTTCTGAGCGTGACTTTTGCAGATCACGAAGCACAGATTTGTCATATTGTGTTACTTTTCTCTGTGCGTGAACAACGTTTTATATTGCCTCACCTTAAGATCGATAGAGGATAGACAGTCCACCAGATACATGATATTCGCATAATGGAAAATGCGTGTAAAAGGTAACATGTAGTGTTTTATGGCAAATTTTACTTACCAGAAGGTCCAGTTTGTAGAGCGAGGGAGACGAGAAGCCGAAGCAACAGCTCTGCGAGTCTCACGTGAAAGATCGATGTGATGTGAACGTATTCTGTAAATTCAGATATTCTTAGCATATTAAGGGAATGGGATTTTATATCGAGATTAGATACATTTTTTCAGATACAGCTACAAAATCAGATATTTTTTTATTAAAAATTATGGATTATGAATTTTCTCTTTTTTTCAAAGAGGTTTCGGGGACAATTTATTTTTTGGATTATATCCCTGTTCCCTCCCCCTCCAATATAACAGAATAAATGTCAAATGGACGGTCCCTCAAGTTTTAATTGACCATGTAAAACAAATCATAACACATTCGAATGACATTGAGTGACAGTTCAATTGATTTTTTCTTCATTTCTAAGCCGATCGTCAAATATAAATGACAGCCGTCGTTCACTGTGATACTTTACTATCGATATTTGCTATAATTTTGTCAGTTATTAGTATCCGCGATGAGTTTTTTTTGACATCACATCCAGAGTATTTAAACAAAGCAAGACAGATTCGTCATGTCTCATGATTTATAATGGGCCATGATGAAGAGGGTTTCAATACTACATCATTAATGAACAGTGGCTATTTGCCGAGATGGTAAAATGTGTATGGAATAACAATAAGGCAACATTGATTTAACTCCAAGTTAGACCAACCGTATTAAGGTATTAATTGCATACAATAAGTGACAATAAATATGGTGTAATCAATGTGATTAGCATGACGTTCACGAGAACGTTTTGAGTTTATGACTAGTGACAGTTGATCCAGAAGGAGATTACCATGACGTACACCGACATGTATTTGTTATCTGAGCAATGACCGTTGACCCAGAAGGAGATTACTATGACGTACACCGACATGTATTCGTTATCTAAGCAGTGACAGTTGATCCGGTGTCGTCAAGGAGATTACCATGACGTACACCGACATGTATTTGTTATAAAAGCAGTGACAGTTGATCAAGAAGGAGATTACCATGACGTACACCGACATGTATTTGTTATCTAAACTGTGACAGTTGATCAAGAAGGTGATTACCATGACGTACACCGACATGTATTTGTTATCAAAGCAGCGACAGTTGATCAAGAAGGAGATTACCATGACGTACACCGACATGTATTTGTTATCTAAACTGTGACAGTTGATCAAGAAGGAGATTACCATGACGTACACCGACATGTATTTGTTATCTAAGCATTGGCCGTTGTTCCAGAAGGAGACCACCTCCGTGGTCTAGTGGTAGAGCGTCCGTCCGGAGAGCGGAAGGTCAGGGGTTCGATCCCCGACCGCGTCTTACCCAAAGACGTTTAAAGATGGTACTTGTTGTTACCCTGTCTGGCGCTCGGCATTAAGGGGCTAAGACAAGGACTGGTCGGCTCGGAGTCAGTATACTGTCACTGAGTGGGGTATTCATGTTAAACTGCGGCATGGTATCTCAGTGAGCTAGCACTATAAATCGGCATCAGTCCGGACAAGAGCACACACACACACACACACACACACACACACACACACACACACACACACACACACACACACACACACACACACACACACACACACACACACACACACACACACACACACACACACACACACACACACACACACACATCCAGAAGGAGATTACCATGACGTACACCGACATGTACTTGTTATCTAAACAGTGACAGTCGATCCACTGTCGTCAAGGTGATTACCTAGACACGGACATGTGTAAGTCAAGGAGACTAAACTTAACCGAACTTAGAACTGAACTTTATATTTCACATTCAGGTCGCTATCACCGGCATAAGAGGAACAAAATAATTTCAGCAACATTATTCAACAACAAATAAGAATAGATTAAATCCAGAACATCTTTGCCGAACATGCATGCATGTATATACAGATAGATCGAAGCAACAATATATATGCAATTAAATAGAGAGAAAATTATTTGAGCAGTTTAAACAATGAAATACTGGTTTGACAAAATTTGGACAATCTTCTCAATGATCCTAGTCGTGGATTATTGAAAAGTAAGTTCATTTTATACATATTGGGAGTAATGTAGTAAAATCTGTGTGAAATTGTTTTCATTCGTTTTCTAAAGATGGATAAATAAACAAATAATATAATTTTTCACATATGTCAGAGAGTTTGCAAAGTAGACACCTTCTTTCGGTTTAATAAAAGCTATTGTCTTCAGCTTGTGGTTACAAGTTCTTAACTTAAGGAGGACTCGCCAAAACGCTATTCAAGTGATATTCAAAATTTTGACAATGAGTTTTTATGACACTATACATTGTGCCTTTTAAAGACTTATCTATTGCACTTATCCAACACTGTAGGTTAATGTCATCGGTTTTTTCATGGACTAAATGTTTTAGATGAGTAGGACTTTTTACATTTCGTGATAGTCAGGTGTAACTAAGCCCAAGTTCGTCATACAGTTCGTTTGATATAAGATTTCCATTTATGTTTACACTCCTCAAATGGTACATATACCCGTTTTGAGTATGCAAGAAGTAATATTTAGTACGATGTAGTCAGTGGGATCACTATGACGTACAGACAGGCTTTCGGTATACAACCAGTGACAATTGATCTTGGGTAGTACAGGCGATCACCGTGACGTACAGACAGGCTTTCGATTTACAACCAGTGACAATTAATCAGGTGTAGTACAGGCGATCACCGTGACGTACAGACAGGCTTTCGATTTACAACCAGTGACAACTGATCAGGTGTAGTACAGGCGATCACCGTGACGTACAGACAGGCTTTCGATATACAATCAGTGACAATTAATCAGGTGTAGTACAGGCGATCACCGTGACGTGCAGACAGGCTTTCGATACACAACCAGTGACAATTGATCTTGTGTAGTACAGGCGATCACCGTGACGTACAGACAGGCTTTCGATTTACAACCAGTGACAACTGATCAGGTGTAGTACAGGCGATCACCGTGACGTACAGACAGGCTTTCGATATACACCAGTGACAATTAATCAGGTGTAGTACAGGCGATCACCGTGACGTACAGACAGGCTTTCGATTTACAACCAGTGACAACTGATCAGGTGTAGTACAGGCGATCACCGTGACGTACAGACAGGCTTTCGATATACAACCAGTGACAATTAATCAGGTGTAGTACAGGCGATCACCGTGACGTGCAGACAGGCTTTCGGTATACAACCAGTGACAATTGATCTTGTGTAGTACAGGCGATCACCGTGACGTACAGACAGGCTTTCGATACACAACCAGTGACAATTGATCTTGTGTAGTACAGGCGATCACCGTGACGTACAGACAGGCTTTCGGTATACAACCAGTGACAATTAATCAGGTGTAGTACAGGCGATCACCGTGACGTACAGACAGGCTTTCGATTTACAACCAGTGACAACTGATCAGGTGTAGTACAGGCGATCACCGTGACGTACAGACAGGCTTTCGGTATACAACCAGTGACAATTAATCAGGTGTAGTACAGGCGATCACCGTGACGTACAGACAGGCTTTCGGTATACAACCAGTGACAATTGATCTTGTGTAGTACAGGCGATCACCGTGACGTACAGACAGGCTTTCGATACACAACCAGTGACAATTGATCTTGTGTAGTACAGGCGATCACCGTGACGTACAGACAGGCTTTCGATTTACAACCAGTGACAATTAATCAGGTGTAGTCAAGGAAATCACCGTAACATACTGACAGGCTTTCGGTATACAACCAGTGACAATTAATCAGGTGTAGTCAATGAAATCACCGTAACATACTGACAGGCTTTCGGTATACAACCAGTGACAATTAATCAGGTGTAGTCAAGGAAATCACCGTAACATACTGACAGGCTTTCGGTATATACCAAGTGACAATGGATCTTGTGTGGTCCATGAGATCACCATGATGTACAGAGACAGGCTATCAGTATACAACCAGTGACAATTGATCAGTATACAACCAGTAACAATGGATCAGGTGTAGTTACGGAAATGATCGTGACGTACAGAGACAGGCTATCAGTATACAACCAGTGACAATGGATCTTGTGTGGTCCAGGAGATCACCGTGACGTACAGAGACAGGCTATCAGTATACAACCAGTGACAATGGATCTTGTGTGGTCCAGGAGATCACCGTGACGTACAGAGACAGGCTATCAGTATACAACCAGTGACAATTGATCTTGTGTAGTACAGGCGATCACCGTGACGTACAGACAGGCTTTCGATACACAACCAGTGACAATTGATCTTGTGTAGTACAGGCGATCACCGTGACGTACAGACAGGCTTTCGATTTACAACCAGTGAGAACTGATCAGGTGTAGTACAGGCGATCACCGTGACGTACAGACAGGCTTTCGATATACAACCAGTGACAATTAATCAGGTGTAGTACAGGCGATCACCGTGACGTACAGACAGGCTTTCGGTATACAACCAGTGACAATTGATCTTGTGTAGTACAGGCGATCACCGTGACGTACAGACAGGCTTTCGATACACAACCAGTGACAATTGATCTTGTGTAGTACAGGCGATCACCGTGACGTACAGACAGGCTTTCGATACACAACCAGTGACAATTGATCTTGTGTAGTACAGGCGATCACCGTGACGTACATACAGGCTTTCGATTTACAACCAGTGACAATTAATCAGGTGTAGTCAAGGAAATCACCGTAACATACTGACAGGCTTTCGGTATACAACCAGTGACAATTAATCAGGTGTAGTCAATGAAATCACCGTAACATACTGACAGGCTTTCGGTATACAACCAGTGACAATTAATCAGGTGTAGTCAAGGAAATCACCGTAACATACTGACAGGCTTTCGGTATATACCAAGTGACAATGGATCTTGTGTGGTCCATGAGATCACCATGATGTACAGAGACAGGCTATCAGTATACAACCAGTGACAATTGATCAGTATACAACCAGTAACAATGGATCAGGTGTAGTTACGGAAATGATCGTGACGTACAGAGACAGGCTATCAGTATACAACCAGTGACAATGGATCTTGTGTGGTCCAGGAGATCACCGTGACGTACAGAGACAGGCTATCAGTATACAACCAGTGACAATGGATCTTGTGTGGTCCAGGAGATCACCGTGACGAACGGAGACAGGCTATCAGTATACAACCAGTGACAATGGATCTTGTGTGGTCCAGGAGATCACCGTGACGAACGGAGACAGGCTATCAGTATACAAACAGTGACAATGGATCTTGTGTGGTCCAGGAGATCACCGTGACGTACAGAGACAGGCTATCAGTATACAACCAGCGACAATGGATCTTGTGTGGTCCAGGAGATCACCGTGACGAACGGAGACAGGCTTTCGGTATACAACCATTGACAATTAATCAGGTGTAGCCAAGAAAATCACCGTGACGTGCAGACAGGCTTTCGATATACAATTGTTACATGTATTTGTTACACTGCACTTTGTATGATGGTCTGCGTGAAATCTTGTATAGAAATGTCAGTTTCAGCTATCTCATTTTTTTTAGAATTGTGCGACAATAATAACTTAATTGTATTTTATAAACACAATGTATATTACACTGCCAAAATCCGCTTTTTACTTCTACAGCTCAGAAAACATATTTTATATAGTTAATGCTATTTTATCTTTTATGTATTTTGCTTATTTTAGTTTATGTAAACTTTTACTGACTTTTAGGTCTGTCATAACAGTGAGAGTGGCTCTATACACTGCATATATTATGTATTAAAATATTTATTCCTAAAGATTGTATGGAAGTGATAGGAGAATTTTTTTTTCTGTCTGTCTATCTATGAAACAATCGATGCTCATGATATCAATCACTGGATTGTCTGGTCCAGACTCTATTACTTACAGACCGCCGTAATATAGCTGGAATATTGCTGAACGAGGCGTTAAACAAACAAACAAACAAAAATCTATAAAACAATTGAATGTTGGTTTGTTGATTGTTTCCTGGCCGCTCTGATGCAGTTGGAATATTGCTGACTGCGGAATCAAGTAAAGGCAGGATTTCATGGAAGACATGTATAAGTTATTGTATCTTACGAGAATAATATTTTACATGTTAAGAAATGTTGTGCTTTTCTCATAGAAAAGGTTACATGCATGTCAGTAATCTTGGTATTATAATAATCACACGTGACATGTCATCTTCTACATAGGCCCCGAGGGTACTCCAGGTTAGAATGAATCCACAGCACATTATGCTGGTCGTACAAGCCGACCTCATGAATCGGGTGGTCAGGCTCGATCATTACGTGTCGTCGTTGTTCACAATATCAATAACTGAACTAGTACTGTCTGGCCAAGACTGGATTATTTACAGAAGGCCGTCTTGTAGCTGCAACGTTGCGGAGTGCGGCGTTGAACAACAAACAAACAAAATAAATCTCATCTTTTACATGGAAACTTTCTTTGTAATTGCCGATACGGGGCACATTCCAATTCGACATAAAAGAAGGGTGACATGAAAAGTGCCATAAATCTCCTTCGGAGCCTACTTTTATGTTATGTCAGAAAATATTTAAAAAAATAATTTCGCAAATTAATTATGCTCTGCGTAAAGCAGTGGAACCAATTTCAATAAGTATGAATTTTGCAGTATGATATGTCGAACAGCAAAAATAATACAATCTCTGAAATTAGATAAGGAACTTTACTTGCACTGACGTCGCTGCTTCATTCACAATATTGATTCAAGTTAGCATTTGCAATGAGGCCCTGGGGTTGGGGATGTTTTCAAATGTTTTCTCATATCACTGTATTGAACGTATAACTTTTCGATGGAGGAAGCTGTTTCTTGGAGACTTGCTGGAAATATTGAATTTGCAATCGTTTCTTATTTCAGGTTTATTGCAATATTGATGCCCCTGAGAGCAAAATATATCTGCACGAGTGCACACGCACGTGTTGTCATTTTCTTCACTTGGGTTGTGTCTTTCTCCATGGCTACCCCAGTTTTAGTTATACAGGTGAGTTTATTGTTATATAACAGTAAAATGTCGTCATCGATATCAAGGTTTTGAATTATTTGGATGAGGGATGTCACCACAATAACTTGCTAGCATCTTATACTTATACAATCCATAGTTATGTTAAAAGTACACATGCGTCGTACGTCAGTTACTTCGTAGTTACGCTTTGCATAGTTAAACCAAATATATCATCATTTCCAAAGAAGATCAATGATGAAACAAATTTCTGGTTTAAGGATTGAGCTAAATGTTCCAGAACTTATTAAAACAACAAAAACATTAATATCTCGTTATAAAAAAAAGCTGCGGCAACAAATTCAGTGAACAAGTATTCAGATCTTTTCATGAAGAAACCAAATTATGAATGATTTTTCGTTAGATTAGATTCCTGCTGACAATAAAGAAGTTCAAATCTGGCAAATGCAGTTTAGGATTGTCGTATTTTTCTGACTGCCTCCTGCTGTTCCTAACTAGATGTCTGCTCCAAGCTGAATGTTCATGCCGCTGTTTGATGTTCACAGACCCACCAGGAAGTGGGAGGGGTACGGAAAGCCTACTGGTGTGTCAAGAAGTATGGTGACCCGAGTCTGGCCATCTTGTTTGAGTCCTACATGTTCGTCATTATCTTCGTGGTACCAGTACTGGTGATGGTGGTCGCCTACACGGGGATCTGCTGTGAGTTGTCGCGTGTGTCAGGCACCAGACTGGCCCTCGGGGTTACGCAGTAAGTTGCACACTCTCCAGTCAGTCGTGAAGAGCGGCAGTCTCAATCTTAATGACAATTTGTAAACTGATTCATCAAGGATTCCAAAACAGGGTACAATTTATGCCTGATATATACGTTTGACACTTATAAATAGCACTGATGTCTGCAACTTTGCGGGGTGATTGTATGTGGTTTGTTATCGCCGATATGTAGGAATGATTTGCTACACATTGGACTTACTATGTGTTTTATCAATTACCTAAACCTATGTGAATTAGTTTTCGATTTGTTACCGTATTTGAAGCTGACAAGTGAGTGAGTGAGTGAGTGATGGGTGGGTGGGTGGGTGAGTGGGTGAGTGAGTGAGTGAGTGAGTCTAAAAGAATCAAACCCGTATACATGCAAAATACACCAACTTACCACATGAACGTTAAGGACCTCGACAAGAGAGACCACGCGACGGTTCAAACCTTACCTTTTAATATCCTTATCCCAAATATCCCTTGAGGAAATATGAGCTGATCATATATTGACTATGTTTATCAGGTGTACAAATATGCTTGACAAACGATTTCTTTAATGGCTTTGTGGATGCGAGGGCCCCGAATCCCTATTCTAGGATGTGTATAAGTAATTACATACCACTGTCTGGATATATGAAGTGGTTTGTAATTATCAAGCAATCACTGAACCCCGTCTCATCGCTGACGGTTATAATTACCTACAGCCCAAGTCTTCCTCAATCTCCTCATCTTTCAACTTCGATTTGGTCTGGGTATGTGTGTAGGCAGAGGCACGTACTGTATACTTCAATTACTGACATGGACAACAATACTCCAGACAGAGAGGGTGACGGCTTTGGAAACGTGTTCTATGTTCAACTGTTTACCAGTTGGTGAAGGTTTTAACCTACAGTAGTAAAACTTTTGTCTGAATGGTCTCTTGTCGCAGACTGTGTGGCAAATATTTGTCCAGGTACCTCTGAGTAGACAAAAGGTTGCGGTATTATCCCCCCCTATTATGGTTACATCTGGAGGTGAACACATGGACGATGGTTGCTGATGTTGCCCGATTCTTGGACTGCTCGTTTTATGGATTAACTTGTATGTAATCGCATTCTCAGTTCAGTGACCAAAAGACGTTAAAAGATGGGTACTTGTCGTTACCCTGTCTGGCGCTAACATTAAGGGGCTAAAACATGGTCTGGTCGGCTCGGAGTCAGTATACTGTGTCTGAGTGGGGTATTCATGTTCAACTGCGGCATGGTATCTCTGTACCAGTGGGCTAGCACTATAAAATCACAAGTAAAAACACCAACTCTCTCTTTTTCTCTCTCTCCCTCTCTCACACACACACATCCGTGCATGCACGTCGATTTATAAGTACAATAATTGAACGGGACGTTAAACCTTATTTCCCCTCTCCTCATTTCAAAGGATCTGATCTGTTTGAAGACAATTACTATGGATAATCTAACTTATCGGAATGGATTTTTTTACATGTGCTGGGGGTACACACGGTGAGTGCTGCACATTCAACGAACATGTCGTTAAAGTTAATCATACTAAAGTAGATATAGTATAACACGAGTACAATCGGACAGTATTCCTTGATCCCTTAGGCATCAGCTGTAGTTGTGTGTCCACATCTCTACCCTTTTCACCATTCCCACATTAATACTCTACCCGACACCAACTAACACTGATGACATTACATGTTGCCAATATATCGACAGCAGAACAGTTCTGTCATATGTGAGTGGCCTTTCTCGCGCTTTAACAGAGATTTTGGTCATTTCGATCATGACTAATACGTATTCTGTCCAATTTCGCCAAGAAAACCTTGGTACTGAATTTGAAGTCGAAGTAGAAAGACATTGCAGCCAAGATATACGAGCGGGTCAGGTGGCTGATAGGGCTGAGCTGATGATTACGGCAGGAGCAGAATTATGTCTTGTAATCTTGTACAGATCTGATGTAATAATATTAGGGAAAGAATATTGTGGCCCTCGCTCTCTTTTCGGGAAAGTTCTTCTTCTAATTCGCCTTAAGTGGTCTTGTCGCCAGCGTCGTCGACATAACTTGAACTTACACTCCTGAAATAGGTTAACAGTGTAAAGAAAGTAAAATTGAACTTTCAATTAATGGTTTTTACGTCGCAATAAACATGCTTTATCATAGTGACCTGGGGTTGACAGCATTGTCAATGATTGATGCCGATTAAGCAAGATGACACACAGTTAGCAAGGTCACACATTGTGACCAACTGATACTCATCCCGCCACGTCACACATTCAACTTGGTCAAACAATGAGACCAACTGATAATCATTCAGTGAGGTCAAAGTCTCATACTCCAAGGTCACACATTATAACCCACTGATCCTCATTAGTCGGCCTCAGGTTAGAAGAAACTTATTCTGACTCAGGAGGATCCCCACGGGTTCTTCCCATGTAATAGTTTCATGTAAATGTTTCATGTAAATGTTTCATATAATAGTTTCGATTTTTCTTAAATGGAAATCACGTCTCGCAGAAGCACTGTGAAACGCATAACACATCCAAACCATTGTTTGACGCCTGACAGCCAAGCAGCCGAAACTTCGTGGTTGCAACCGACAGACAGATAACGAAACAGGTTTCCATAGTGTGTTAGACATTATCGAGCTTCGCTTTTCGTGTCCTTTCTACTATTAAATGCACTTATACACATGTACAGCTACAACATGTAACATAAATGCTTATCAATGAATTCCAATGAAACGTTCTCTAAAATGCATCATCAGATGAACCGACTTGATATGTACATATACATTGTCCTGGAACATGTGATAATTTAAGTGTATGTTATAGCACCATTATCAAGCAAGTTAAGTATAGTTTGGACCTGCTAGGACCTTTAACCTTATTTCATCCTTTGTGCACGAAACAGGCTTCTCCACTCTACTGTAGCCACACCCAAATCTATTCAACTGCATAAACTCTACCTCATACCCCCATACTCTCTTTGACCGCCTCCGTGGTCTAGTGGTAGAGCGTCCGCCCGGAGAGCGGAAGGTCCGGGGTTCGATCCCCGACCGCGTCATACCAAAAGACGTTAAATGATGGTACTTGTTGTAACCCTGTCTGGCGTTCGGCATTAAGGGGCTAAAACAAGGACTGGTCGGCTCGGAGTCAGTATACTGTGTCTGAGTGGGGCACTATGTTCAACTGCGGCATGGTATCTCAGTGAGCTAGCACTATAAATCGGCATCAGTCCGGGCTAGTACAAGCAGCCACACATACACACACACGTACATGCACGTCGCTATATAAGAGCAATAATCTGGGACGCGACTTTAAAATCAATTTCACCTCACCTCACCTCACCTCACCTCACCTCATCACCATACTCTGTTTATCTCTTGCTTGATGTACCCACACCGGTACGTCGCTCCTGAGTGTAATAAAGTAGTTGTCCATCTAAATACCATATCCTAAGTTTGTACTCCAACTTCCAAATGCCTCTGAAAGACGGTATTTCAACCGTTTAGCTGGAAACTATGGAAATAAATTAAAAAAAGCTAGGACGTGAAGATTATTGACAGACTGTGCATTTCGGGTGACAATCTTTCTTGTAATGAACATGTCCCCTTGTATACTAAAGCATCTGCATTGCATAGATCTGACACTCATGGTGATTAATGTTACTTTAACATCATGGCCAGACATATCTGAATAATGTAACACTTTATGCACTGCACTTAAGACCAGAAACCTGATTAAACGCTGTAAAAAAGGAACCGAGCCTGACTCGCCTTCAATATAGAATATTTTATTGTACTAATCTAGAAACACATTAAGTCGTTCGTCACTCACAAACAAGTCCCATCTCTACAGCTTTCGTTTCAAGGGAGAAAAAAACGTCCTTAACGGATTCACATCACAGTTTCAATTTCATAGCCGAGCCTGTGATCTAAACTAGAAACAACCTCTTTCTGTTGCAAGATTGAATACTTCCAGGATATGCTAGGAAGCACACAGCCTTGGCCGTCGCCCCGGACCACTATAATTAAACTGTGTAATCAAGTACCAAGCCAGGAGTTGTCCGGTATGTGTACTTGCACTATATCACTCTAGTTTGGCTAATCACCGACATGCACGGTCTTCGAGCAGTGCCACTGTGCTATGGGAATGCCCCTGCTATTCCTGGTTCTCTGTGTGGCGGATCAGACGACAGCAGTAACAGCTGCTTATCGTAATGGTGAGGTGCTCGTTATCGTAAGTCCTTTCTCCAGCGAAGATTATATTCTTCCTTAGAATGTTTCAGGGCTATGTGTGTGGCTGCTTGTACTAGTCCGGACTGATGCCGATTTATAGTGCTAGCTCACTGAGATACCATGCCGCAGTTTAACATGAATGCCCCACTCAGACACAGTATACTGACTCCGAGCCGACCAGTCCTTGTTTTAGCCCCTTAATGCCGAGCGCCAGACAGGGTAACAACAAGTACCATCTTTTAACGTCTTTTAGTGATTTTTAAGGATTTGACCATCCGTGCTGTGATTGAATGTTGTTTATGTCAGCAATATTGCAGCTGTATCATGGCGACCTATATTTAATAGAACCTGGATCAGAGACACTAGTGACTTAGAGTAAGAGCAATGTTCCACGCCAACGAGTTTTCAGAACTATTTTATAACATCAATATAGTACCATGTTCTAGACTCCGAAGATTATACGAGCATTTACCTATTATATCAAAGACGATTCCTGCATTTGGTAAATACAATAGCTTTACTTGATGATAAGTGGTTCAAATTGTATCGGGGAAATGACAAACTAAGGGACAATGGAATTAGGGCTCAAGAATGATTAATATTTCGATATTGGGTTGTCCTTCATTGTTGGTGCTTTTTCGTTTTAAAACCATAACCATATCGTTCGGTACATACAGTAAGAATAGTGTTGGGAGATTATTAGTTTGATTTTCTCTCTCCACCATCACCTCGTTATATCCATTTTACACTGCCCCAGACCA